TATTTAAAAAACATTACTGGCTACTGAATAAACGTTCCGAACTGTCGACAAACAACAAACTAATTACACCCAGGCCTCGCTATACGGCCGCTCTTTATACGGCCTTTCGCTATAACGGCCCTCTTTAATTAAGGAACGTTTTCGATATACGGCCTAAAATGTTTCGCTATAACGGCTTTTTTAAATTCCCGTAGCGCAAGTTATAGTAATCGCAAAAAAATCGAAAATGAAAATTTTTATATATCTTTAAACTATAACGTTTCAAAGGTTCAAACGTTTTGGAAAAACTATAATATCAAGGATGCTGTTGAGAACATTAGTGAATCCTGGAAGGAATTGAAATCGACAACAATGAATCATGTTTGGAAAGAAATATGGCCAGAATGTATAAAAACTACCGATGCAGAAGTTAATTCCTTCCTGAAGTTAGACAAAACATTTTGGATTTAGCACATGATCTCGGTTTTGAAGATTTAAACGAATCTGATGTGCTGGATCTACTTGCAGCTAATCAGTTGCAAGCAGAGCCGGCAATTGATGAAGATACAGAACGTGTTGTATCCAAACAGCTAACATCAAAAATCATGTCGAGCGCTTTTTCATATTTTGAACAAGGAATAACATCTTCCTTGAAAACGATCCTGACGTCGAACGTAGCGCTAATGTCTCTCGAGGAATTAACTCAGCCATTAGCTGTTATAAATCACAAATCAATCACATCAAACCACCAGCGCAAAATGATGGTGACAGTAGTCTGTATTTAAAAATTATGGAATGTTTTTGAAGTTTTTTATTTTATGTAAAATTTATGTTCTTGTTAAATATGTTTATAATTTAAACAAAATAAAATATAAAATGCATTTTGAATGATAACCATATTATATATTTATTAAATTTGGAACCGATCCCATTGAATTTGTATGAATACGTATTAGAATAATTGATTCGTTATACGGCTTTTCGCTTTACGGCCAAGTTTTGCGGAACGTATCTAGGCCGTAAAGCGAGGCCCCAGAGTATTTACAAATGTATTTTCAAACCAGTGTGGTCTTATGGGATTCAACTATGGGGCACCGCCAAAAAAAAACAATCTACAGATTATTCAGCGAGTGCAGAAAAAAATCATACGGCAGGCACTGAACGCACCTGTACCTAACTGAACTGTTAAGCCGGCCACAGACGTAACTGTATACTTGCGCAACCTGCGACTTGCACATGTGTTCTGTAGCGTCTGTGGCGTGTTTTTTGCGCAACTTGACAGACTGGTGCAAGCGAGTAGGCATGAGCACTTTTTCATTATTTTAATTGCGCAACCATTCAAGTCGGCAAGTTCATTCGTTGGCCGCGCGTGGCAGCACATGTCCCGTTTTATTTTACTTGTAGCGAATTCATAATACAAGTTTATGAAGTTATCGACAATTAAAAGTTATTAAATTAGCCCTCTGAACACTTTGAATTCTCTTCTGATGCTGTAAATACATAAATTAATAAAAAAGATATATTTTTAGGTTATGTTTTGACATTTATTATTTGACATTTGTGATATGCTTGCGCAAGTACTTGAACATAAACTTGAACCGTCTGTGGGCGCTGTGAAAATACGCCTGGTTGCGCATTCATTCAGTTGCGCAAGTATACAGTTACGTCTGTGGCCGGCTTTAGGTACGTTCCTAACTGGTTGATTCACCAGGACAGCAACATGATGACAGTAAATGAAGAAATTCAACAAAAAACAAACAACTACAAAAGAAGAATAGACGAACACCCAAATTACTTGGCACACAAAGTATTCTCAGAAGCGCGCCCAACAAGACTAAAACGAAAAATTTCCAATGATCTCATAAATTTGTAAACGCTAGCATTATTATTATTATTATTATTATTATTATTATTATTATTATTATTATTATCTTACTATTTCTATTATTATTATTTTGTTATATTTTATTATTTTTCTAGTATTACTTTATTACTCAGAAATTTTATTTATATTATTTATTAATTTTATTTTTATTATTATTTGCTTATGTTTTATATCAAATCATATTACGGATATTATTTTCATGTAAATTTTATCCTTTGCACTTTTATTTATTTAAATTTATGTTATTATTTATCAATATTACTAGATGTTAATAATTTAACAGTTGTAATACTTATTGAAATTAAAAAATATATATATATATTTTTTTTCTTTTATTTAATCTATTTCTTTTCTTTAATTTCTTATATTCTATTTTTTTCTTGATTTTGATTTTCAATACCATCACTTTTAACTTTTAGATTATATTGTAATCTTATTGTTAAAACTAGCAGATATAAAAAAATATAATAGAGCATATTCCTGGAAATACATAGCTTGAAAACATGAAGTTGCATTTTTTTATTTTGAAGTTGGCAGCTCTTTTGTAATGTTATAACTTCAGTGCACAGATGCAATATTAATAATTATGTAGTCAGTTATCAATTATAAAAGTGTTAAAAAATTTAAAAATAAGTTAGTTATCAGTTGTTAACTAATAATCGACAAAAAGTGGTATTTATTAAATAGATGTAAGTAAATAAATGCATAATTAACCAATCCGAATTTTGAAGAATTAACTGTTATATTCGCCAATCATTTCGATGCGTTTATAATTAATTTAATAAATGATGGTTATGTGTATTCCAAAAATTCATTTATTTTTAGGAACAGTATTCATCAAAAATGAATACTCAAGCCGAAGATTTCTTATTTCAAGAAGAATGTACAGACGGGGAAAACGTAAGATATTTTGAAGAAGGCGATTCGTACCGTTCATATGTCAATCACGATCTACCATATATCGACGATTCAGATCATGAAAGTAATATTGAATTTAACCCTGAACAACAAGAAAATCGAAATGAGATAGAAACAAGAGATGCAGATCCTAATTATGAGAGGCCAAGTTTCAACTCTGATCTTCTCGATAAAGGTAACCCTCAACAGAGCAGTAGTAGCAAAACTGAAAATGCAATCAATTATGCAACTCAACTGGAGGTCGACGAGTATAATGTAAAAATAAACACACAATTAAAACACTTAATAAACCAAAAAACAAAATACGATTTCGAAATTCGCGATTTAAGAAAACGCTTGAAACAATCAGAGGAGAGATACACACGCCAGATTAAAGATTTGACCGAATTGCAATTATTATATGAGCAATGCAAAAAAGATTTCAAACTAGAAAAAGATGAAAGATGCATAACAGCTACCGATTGGGAAAATCTGAAGATAAATACAAATTTCGTAGAACAAAGATTGGCAAATATTGAAAATTTGTGGCCTGAAATGCAAAATTATCTTCACAAACAAGTGATAGATAAACAGAATCTACAGAAAAATATTGATATTCTGAATCAACAATTATATGCAATAAACATTCGTCAGAAAAATGATTTATGTTCATATAAGAAATCGCTGGAAGAGTTGAAAGAAAAGGAGATAATGTTGTCAGAAAATGTAGACAGTCTAAATGCAGAATTGACAAAAAGCGCAGACCACAATTCTATTATGCAAAAACAAATCAGTGAACTTGAACAGCAACGTGCAGAATCTATGAATAAAATTACAAATTATAAATCAGATATAACTGAACTCACAAATAAAATTAATATCTTACAGCAGGACTATGAAAATATTCTAGAAAAATACAAGCAAGAATCGGCGTCTTCTGCAACGACTAAAATCGAAAATGAAACAATCATAGATAGCATGAATAAGTTATTAACAAACACAGAAGCATTGAAAGAAGAAAACATGAAACTGAAATCAGACCTCACAGTTTTTGAACAACTTAATCAGGAATATAAACAAAAATCTGACAATGATTTGAGAGCCATAAAAGATCTTGCTAATCATCTCGATTTGTGTAAAGCCGAATGTCAACAAAAAATAAAAGCTGAACAAGCATTTGCTGAAAAACAAAATTTGGAGCTACAACAACACATCAAGGATTTAACAGAAAAATATAACTCATATAAAACTAATAAAGAACAAGAGATTGCTGAGAAAAATATGAAGTTATCCGAGTATGATACTTTAGTAAATGAACTAAATCGAAACTTGAGTAACACTTCACAAAGATTAGAATCAAAATCATCTGAGAACATGAAACTTTTGCAAGAGTTAATGCAGAATAAAATAACAATAAAATCACTAACAGATGCAAAAGAAGTTTTATTGGACCAGCTGCAAGGAAAAAACAAGCATATCGAAATGCTCAGAACAGCTCAAAGTTTGAAGAGCAATAAAACAGCTTTTGTGGCTCCTGCCAAAAATGAATCTTCTACTAAAATTTCAACTAACTATGACAGTGACAGCAGTGCTGATAAAAGAATTTTGGAAGATTATTATGATGAGAATAATGTCAAGAGAAAGAGGATAATTCTAAAAAGAGATATGCGTCGACTGCAATCTATGACACAATCTTCTGATCAACCAACACAAAAACTAAAGCGTAGATTGAGCAGTAATGAAAAAGAGCAAAAAGAAGATGCTTAAGAGAAACTTATATATATATATATATATATATATATATATATATATATATATATATATATAAAATACTTCATTCCACCAATTTCATGGAATATTAAATACTTAAATGTGTTTTTCTTAACAGTATATATAAAATTAAAATATTCATATATTAGATGTATAATTAAATAAATAAAAATTCTTTAAAGAAAATTGCAAAATATAAAATTATTTGATAAAATAATTCATTATCATAAAGTTCAACAATATATATTAAGTGCTATCTATATACCATGGGCATAGCCAGGCAATGATCAAAATAAGGATTAACATGAGTATTACCTTTAGTATGACTAACTTATTTGTTTTATATTTGAATAATTAATTATCATCACAATCATGAAACCAAGTCAATAATGCCTTCAGCTATGCTCATGATATGAAAATAAATTGATGGTGCTCATTCAACTTAGTTTATGTATAATTTCTATAATACCTTAATTTCTCATGATATTGTAGATAAGATTTATGTGTAGGTGTGTCTCTGAATGCATGGGTAAGATCAAATTTCATTTCACCAGCAACATGCTGGGGTAAAAGTGATAATAAAATTCTGTCCAATCTCTCATTTTCGTCATCGTAATCCAGTTTGGCAGAAATTAATTTTCTTGTGTCAAGAAAAGCTTTTCTGTGATTCTGTTCTGTAAATCTATGCAAAATAATTCCACAAGCATTGACTGCTACAAAAATAAGTAAATTGGCACCAACCTAGAATATAGACAAAGAATTTAGGTAAACCTTATATTTTCTAATTGGATTAGATAATTAAATTTAATATAAATATAAAATTTCAAGTATAGTAATTTAACTCTAAATTTAGGTAAATTTGAAACTAATGTTAAACCGAATGTAAAGGCAGGCCAATTAGTTATGGAACTCACTTGATACCAGTAAGTATCCAAGTAATGCTTTGTTGTAATAAACTGACTCCACTTGAATAATTGTTAAACATATTCCAAAAAGGCTAGCATGCCAAGCATACAATGGCATCATTGTGTAAGCAATAAATGAAATAAAAGACACTAGCCAAACGCCTTCTGAACTAACTCCATGAGATTCAGCAGGTAATGTAAATTGCATCAAATCAGCTGCCATTGTCGTCACAGTTAAGGTCGTACAAAAGAATAAAATGGTTTAACAGACCTAAAAAAAATAATTTTAAT